GAAACGTGTAACGCAAATGCCCATAATAGCATTACTCATAATAGTCAAAAGTGGAAAGAACTCAAATGTCCATCAATTGAAGAATGGATAAATAAAAGTGGGATATCCATACAATGGAATGCGAAAATGAAATTCTGATGCATGCCACGCTTAGATAAGCCTCAAAAACATTATGCCAAGAAGCCCATCACACACAAAAAAATCATGAGTTCATTTCTATGAAATGTCCAGAATACCCAAATCTATGAGACAGAGGATAGATTAGTGCTTGCCTAGAATTGGAGGGGATGGGAGGTTTGGGGAATGATGGCTACAGGGAATGAGGTTCTTTTTGAGGTGATGAAAATGTCGTAAATTTGTTTTATGCTTCCAAAGTGCTAACTTTGAGTCATAAGGCATGTAAGAAGTTCAAATCAAGGTCACATCCTAAAAGCAGAACAGACTGGATGTTGAAAACTTTTGGGAATTACCTAAAACCTCAGGAACTTGAGAAAAGGAATGAAACTTCTAATTGTACTTTTATTAATTTATTTATTCTTTTTTTTGAGACGAAGTCTCACTCTGTCACCCAGGCTGTAGTGCAGTGGTGTGATCTCAGCTCACTGCAACCTCTGCCTCCCAGGTTCCATTCTGTGAACACACTATAAATTGGCCAGGCGTAGTGGCTCACCCCCTGTAATCCCAGCACTTTGGGAGGCTGAGGCAGGTGGATCACGAGGTCAGGAGTTTGAGACCAGCCTGGCTAATGTGGTGAAACCCCATCTCTACTAAAAATACAAAAATTAGCTGGGTACAGTGGCGTGCGCCTGTAGTCCCAGCTACTCAGGAGGGTGAGGCAGGAGAATCACTTGAACCTTACAGTGGGCCAAGACAGCGCTACTGCACTCTAGCCTGGGCGAAAGGGTGAGATTCCATCTCAAAAATAAAATAAAATTAAAATTAAAAATCAAGTTCTTACAAAAAAAAGACAGCTGAAACTATAAAACTTCTGCAAGAAAACATAAAAGACTGGTGTCTTTGGGTTAGGTAGATTTCTTAGAACAAAAAAGCATTATCCATAAATTTACAAACTGATAAACTAGACTATCAAAATTTAAAATTTCTGTTCTTTGAAAGATACTTTTTTAAAAAATGAAAAGGCAAGTCACAAACTGAAAGAAATATTTATAAAACATCTTTCGAAGTCCTTTTTTTGTTTGTTTTTGAGACAGTGTTTCACTCTTGTTGCCCAGGCTGGAGTCCACGGTATCATCTCAGCTCACTGCAACCTCCACCTCCTGGAGTTCAAGTGATTCTCCTGCCTCAGCCTCCCAAGTACCTGGAATTACAGGCTCCTGCCACCACACCTGACTAATTTTTGTATTTTTAGTAGAGATGGGGTTTCACCATGTTGGCTAGGCTAGTCTCAAACTCCTGACCTCAGGTGATCTGCCCACCTTGGCCTCCCAAAGTGCTGGGATTACAGGTGTGAGCCACTATGCTCCGTTTATTTAAGTCCTTTTGCAAGCTACTGGAAAATATATCATTCATTCATTCATACACACACACACACACACACACACATTTACGTACGTATGGTAAAGGACTTATAGAACCCAAATATATAAAGAATCCCTACAACAAAATAATAAGACAAACAACCCAATTTTTTAAATAAGCAAAAGAATTAAACAGCTACTAATCAATGAAGACACCATTAAACACACAAAAATCAGCTCATCATCATGAGTCATTAGGTAAATGCAAATTAAAACCACGGTAAGATATCATTATGTCCATGAGAATGGCTAGAATTAAAAAGACTGAAAATATCAAGAGGTTACGGAGCCACCGGAACTCCGGAACTCTCCACTGTGTATGAGAATGTAAAACTGGTATAGCCACTTTAGAAAACAGTTTGGCAGTTTTTTAAGGTTAAACTTACACTTTTTTTTTTTTCTTTTGAGGCAGAGTCTCACTCCATCACCAGGCTGGAGTGCAGTGGCGTGACCTCGGCTCACTGCAACCTCCACCTCCCCGGTTCAAGCAATTCTCCCGCCTCAGCCTCCCGAGTAGCTGGGACTACAGGCACGCGCCACCACGCCCAGCTAATTTTTGTATTTTTAGTAGAGACAGGGTTTCACCATGTTGGCCAGGATGGTCTCGATCTCTTTTTTTTTTTTTTTTTTTTTTTTTTTGAGACGGAGTTTCGCTCATGTTACCCAGGCTGGAGCGCAATGGCGCGATCTCGGCTCACCGCAACCTCTGCCTCCTGGGTTCAGGCAATTCTCCTGCCTCAGCCTCCTGAGTAGCTGGGATTACAGGCACGCACCACCATGCCCAGCTGATTTTTTTGTAGTTTTAGTAGAGACGGGGTTTCACCATGTTGACCAGGATGGTCTCGATCTCTTGACCTCGTGATCCACCCGCCTCGGCCTCCCAAAGTGCTGGGATTACAGGCTTGAGCCACCGCGCCCGGCGGTCTCGATCTCTTGACCTCGTGATCTGCCCGCCTCGGCCTCCCAAAGTGCTGGGATCACAGGCGTGAGCCACCGCGTCCGGCCAGTTAAACTTACACTTACTGTAAGACCCTGCAATTCCATTTCTTGGTATGTGCTCAAGAGCAATTAAAACATATATCTACATAAAGACCTGTACATTAATATTATTTCACAGCAGCTTTAGTCATACTAGTCCAAAACTGGAAGCAACCCACATGTGCATCAACAATGAAGGGATGAACAAACTGTAGTAAATCTGTATAATCGACTACCACTCAGCTACTAAAAAGAGACAAATAGGGCCGGGTGCGGTGGGTCACACCTGTAATCCCAGCACTTTGGAAGGCCAAGGCAGGTGGATCATGAGGTCAGGAGATTGAGACCATCCTGGCAAACATGGTGAAAACCCGGCTCTACTAAAAATAAAAAAAATTAGCTGGGCGTGGCAGTGCACACCTGTAGTCCCAGCTACTCAGAAGGCTGAGCCAGGAGCATCACTTGAACCAGGGAGGCGGAGGTTGCAGTAAGCCGAGATCATGTCACTGCACTCGAGCCTGAACGACAGAGTGAGACTCCGTCTCAACAAAAAAAAAAGGGGACAAATCAAGTATTTGCTGTAAATAACAATGTATACCCATCTTAAGGATTATACTAACTGAACAAAGCCAGATACAAGAGAGTACATACGATATGATTCCATTTATTTGACATTCTGGAAAAGGTAGAACATGGTGACAGTAAGCTGATCCGTGGTTGACAACGGCAGTGGTAAGGGGTGAGGACTGACTGCAAAGGGCATGAGGGAACTTTTGGGGGTAGGAAAATGTTTTAAATCTTCATTGTGGTGGTGGTGGTGGTTACAAGACTACGTACACTTGTCAAACTTGTAAAAGTGGACACTTAACGTAGGTGAATGTTCATACAGGTAAACTATGTTCAATAAAGTTGATTTTAAAAGTACAATTAGTGGGCTGAGTGCGGTGGCTCACGCCTGTAATCCCAGCACTTTGGGAGACTGAGGTGGGCAGATCACCTGAGGTCAGGAGTTTGAGACTAGCCTGGCCAACAAGGTGAAATCCCATCTCTACTAAAAATACCCAGCTTAGCCGTGTGTGGTGGCGCATGTCTGTAACCCCAGCTACTTGGGAGGCTGAGGCAGGAGAATTGTTTGAACCCAGGAGGTGGAGGTTGCAGTGAGCCAAGATCACACCACTGCACTCCAACGTGGGGGACAGAGCAAGACTTCATCTCAAAAAAATAAAAATAAATAAAGGTACAATTAGTAGTATCATTCCTTTTCTCAAGTTCCCAAGTTTTTAGGTAATTCCCAAAAGGTCTCAACATCTGATCAGCTCTACTTTCAGGACATGAACTTGATTTCAACTTCTTACATGCTTATGACTCGAAGTTAGCACTTTGAAACATAAACTCTAAATTCTGTGTTACAGAAGTCCATCCTGAAATAAACCTATATGCTATCATCTACAGCTAAATTACAGATGCAACCAAGCATTATTTGATCCCCTGCAACTTTTCTAGCTTCCTTGCTTTTCTTATCTCTTCACTAAAAAGAATTTACCATAAATGTAAATGAGTACCACAGCTCGTTCCTATGCAGAGGATAACTCTGTTTTAGAGACTGCACTTTATTCAACTGTTCAGCTTTAAACATCTGCAGTCTGTTTGCCAGCATCTAACAGAACCCGCTGCATTTTCTACAAAGAACAATGAACATTTCTCATTACAGCAAAACTCCACAAATAATTAAAGGCAAATAAAGCATATTGCAACCAAGAGAAAAATTAAATAGACTGAGATATCCAAGCTATCCTTTGTTCTTCAATTAGGCTTTGAAGAACAAAGGTATTCAGGAAAGAGTCTAGCACACATCACTAAAAATTCAGGATGGGCTTTCCTGCATAACCACAACAGCAACAGACTGGAAATGTGTGAAACAGCTCATGGGAATTGCATTCAGGAAACTCATGGGAAAAGCCACAGTTAATCATTCACACAGATACCTCCAAAGAAAATGAAAAGAACATGATGTGGAAAGAAGAGTAGAGACATCCAAGTTCTGAAATGGACAAACCTCTCTTTTATTCAAATATCTCTGAGGACACCATCTTTTTAAATTAATCTTGCCCTATAGCTCCATAGAATTGATAGTAAGTAAGAGACTACTATTAGCAAAGAGAGACAGCAACCAACAAAAGAACGAACAAAAAGAAACTAAACAAACAAAAACTCACACACTGACAACACAGAATGCAAACTTGAGACTATCTCAAAATAAAATGGAATTATACTTATGCTGAATAGGACTCTTCTCCATTACTGTAGCTCACCCCCTGCAATAAGTCAGGGTCAGTGTCTTTTATTTACGTGTGAACTCATCCTCCTGGTAGACAAACTGACCTAAGTTGCAGTCTTTTATCTACCACTGTAATATTTGCATAATTATAAGACTAGGGGAAACAAAAGCTAGATGTTTGAGGATGGAGTTGGGCTGACACTCACCACAAACTTCTCACCATTCTGCTCCACATGTTTGTATCTGGGGACCGATATGGGCACTGCTTGCTTTTCTGTGTAATCATAAAATGATTGTCCCAACGAGTCGTCACTGGGATCTAGGTTATCTGCCTCATGAGGAGGTACAGATAACACTGTCAAGATCAATTCCTTCTCGCCTGCTCGGATCAGGTCCACCACCTGCTTGTGTGTCGCCCCCTCAACATTCACGTGGTTCCTAAGGGGAAAAAGGGAAAAAGACAATCCCATAAACCAGAAGGGTCCAAACACCTTGTATCTCCTCCCTCCTGCCCCCACTCCAGTGTCACACAGTATGAACCATGAAATCAAAGGGTTAATTTGGTTCCGGAAAAGCTGTTTATGTTTTTACAGTTTCTAACGTGAAAAACTTTGTGAACTTATGGCGGGGGGAAAAATGGAAAGAGGTGAGAAGACCTCCCCTTCCTCTATACTCATATCCCACACATAGCTTCAGGAAGCACATGGAAAGAGGGTGAAGCTGACGAGGAAACAAAGCTTTTTAAGTTAAACAGTCCAATTTCCTCACCCCAACTAAGCATGGACACAATTCATTCAAAATGGCTTTTGACAGCCCTGCCACTTGAATTGTATTTTGTCCTTTTTAAACCTCACAGGAATTCTGTTAAAAGAACCTTCACAAAAGACACTCCCTTAATTTGTAAATAGAGACTCAACAAAAGTTAAGACTGAAAATAATTCCTTTACATTTACATCCAATTTCTCTCCATATCTCAAATCAGTCAACTCAATTTTCCTTTATGCCAAGTTTCATTACCTTGGGAGCCAAATGGTATTACTCTTCACACACTAGTTTCCACTTCAATTAACCTCTCGGGATTCTACCAACTTTTTTCCTGCTCTATGCTACCTCATTTAAAGCCCGGTGTAATCAGTCCAAACTAAAAAATATGCACCTAAGGTTATAGTCAGTCAGCCTACTAATTTTCCTTCCTGTTTTACTGTGTACAAAAGGCTGAAACAAGGCAAACAAAGTACAAAGTTTAGAAGAAGTATTTTGTCAAGAAAGATGCTGAGTCTCACAAAACTCACTCAGCAAACCAAACTACCTTCCCAGAGTGCCAATCCAGGCTGCTACCTCAGCAAAAACCACTGGGCAGCTGGCCTGGAGGTTCCCTCCTACGGCTACCCCAAGAGAGGCAGGAAATACACACCTGACCTCTAATCAATCTAACATTTAAAGCTGATCTACCCTTTAGAGTTAAATTCTTTTTCAGTCCTGTTCTAAACCATTAGGGGTTTTCCTTCCTGAAAATGATGCTAAGTTTAGTAACAAGCCTTCCATAAACTTTTCAGTCACTGAAATTGTCTCTGTCAGAGTCTGGTATCTGAAACATCCATCTATATAAACAGAACAGACAGGAGATCCCCCCAGCTAGCCTCCTGGGATTTAATTTAGAGTTTAACAATTTAGCCAGTAAATTCAGCACTTCTGACATTTCACATCCTGAAAGTCTAACTTATATACAAAAAATTCAGCAGACCCTTCTTGCTGATGGAAACTTGGGCTTTTTATTTGGATCAGTCAGACTTGTGATCAAAAAACATGATCAACTCTGATCATACAGCAGGATGGCAAAATGGAAAGAAAATAGGCTTCGGAGCTAGTAACATGAGTTCAAATCCTGATCCTGCCTATTAGTATCAGAATTGGTCTTGACTGAGTTTTAACCTTTCTTAGCCTTGCTTTCCACATCTGGAAATGCAGACAATACTAAGTTCCTAACAGAGTTGCTGTGGAGATTAATATAATAAAACAGGTAGGACAATTCCTAAACATTTACATCAGAAGGTTTAAGAAGTAAAGAGGTACCATGTATATAGATATTGGTTAAAGAAGAAATGGAGATCTTTTCTTTTTTTTTTTTTTTTTTTTTTGATGGAGTTTCACTCTTGTTACCCAGGCTGGAGTGCAATGGTGCGATCTCGGCTCACCGCAACCTCCGCCTCCTGGGTTCAGGCAATTCTCCTGCCTCAGCCTCCTGAGTAGCTGGGATTACAGGCACGCACCACCATGCCCAGCTAATTTTTTGTAGTTTTAGTAGAGACGGCGTTTCACCATGTTGACCAGGATGGTCTCGATCTCTTGACCTCGTGATCCACCCGCCTCGGCCTCCCAAAGTGCTGGGATTACAGGCTTGAGCCACCGCGCCCGGTCAGAAATGGAGATCTTAAGTTAGGAATTGGCAAAAGATTTTATCTAATTATTTGGTCTCACTAGTTTTGAGAAAATGATTTGATGGTAGAAGAAAAAAATGAAAAACCAAGTTTAGAAATCATCAAATAATTTCATCTATCCCTAGGAACCTTAGCTAACTCATGAATATCCTTTATTAACACACTGGCAAAAGCTGACACCTTAAAGACTCGACAAAATACTAACATCCTGAATACAGGCTGGGCACAGTGTGGCTCACACCTGTAATCCCAGGTGTAATTGCTTTAGTTCAGGAGTTAGAGACCAGCCTGGGCAACATGGTAAAACCCCATCTCTATATAAAATATACCAAAATATTAGTCAGGCCTGGTGGCACGTGACTGTAGTCCCTGCTACTCATGAGGCTGAGGTGGGAAGATCACCTGAGCATGGGAGTTCAAGGCTGCAGTGAGCTATGACTGTGCCACTGCACTCCAGCCTGGGTGACAGAGTGAGATCCTGTCTTCAAATAAAATCTTAAATACTAAAACAAAATTTCTGTTAATACAATCAATTTTGTGAAATGCACATTTGTGAAAAATAAAAACTGATGCTCAAATCTTACTTTTCAGTTCCCTAATTATTTTTCCCTTTAAAGAATTTTTTTTTATCTAGGGCACTCTGTTGGTAGACTTGGGAGCCAGTGGATCTATAAAATTTGTATGTAAAATTGTATTTATGTGCATATTATGCATTTTTTTCTGGGGAGTTTCCCTAGCTTTCATCAGCTTCAAAAAGGAGTATATAAACTCCAAAAAGATTCAGAACTATTGCTTTCAATACACACCTCCACTCATTCAGTTTTCAAATCAAAATACACTGTTCCATGGGTCACTCACAAAAATAAACCCTGAAAATCATCAGAGAAACTTAAGTGAGACTTATACCAAGAGCAACCAGGGAGCGAGAGAGCTCACCTACGTTTCTCTTCTTTATTAGTAAGACCAAGTTTCAAACTGACTATAATTCCAAAAACCTCTTCTAAAAAAAGAGAGGAAAAAACTTCCACTGTCATATTCTAAACAGACTTGCTAATATTTTATCTGGTTCAGCTATAGAAGGAATGCTATACATTCCAAGACTTACTACAAAGTGGAAAATTCCTTCATTCTTCGGAGAATGAAATAAGGTCAGTAAAAATCCCAAGATGTCTGATTTGAAAAACGGCCCTCCCTCCTCAAGAATTAAGAGATCTTCACAGGCATAAAAATGTTTATATGATATACTCTTTTTACAAGAAGGCTACTATACCAGACTCAAATTCGGTGTGGCCCAATACTTTGTACAATTTTGAAGACAAAAATTAATGCAAAATATAAATTCTCCAACAAAGAGAAACTTTCAGCAGTACAGACTTCAGGCTCAAAGTATGAGTTTGGGGGTCAAACAGACTTGGGTTTGAGTACCAATTGTGCTGTTTATTGAATGAGCCCCAAGTAAATTACTCAATCTCACTAAATCTCAATTTCCTAATCCATAAAATGGGGCCAATAATACCGTTTGCTAACGGAATTGTTGTGAAAATTAGAATGAGATGAAGCTCTAGAATATGGTAACCACTCAATAAACGGTAGCTATTTGTGTTATAGTATTTGTATCAATTGGGCAAACAGGTTGGTAGCATTTTCACACCTCCCTGATGATATAAACCTTTTCTACCACCAATTTCCTTTGCCTTTCTTCTATCTTTGTAACGTCATTTAGCTGGAATTCATTTGAAAATAAATGATTAAGCTCTCAACCAATGATAATGGGGTTCACAAATAGCCACCTTCACAAGACCACTGGATCAGTGAAGCACTTAATTCTCTTATCACACAAAAGTGATACTGACTGCCTAGTAGGACCTATCAATTTACACCACTTTTATAAAGAAAGGCAGTAACCTAAATACATCATCAAAAATAACTAACACATATGTGATTAAGTAAATACAGCAAAATGTTAATTATAGAATCTAGGTGATAGATATACAGGTATTCATTGTATGATTCTTTCAATTTTTCTGTATGTTTGAAACTTTACATAATAAAATGAAGGCAAAAATAAAGCAGGTCAAAAATTCCAACAATCCACAAATAAGATCAAAATTTTGTTTTCTTAGGCAGATGATATCTAATTTATTTTATGACTTTGGCATTATAAAGATACACTTCATAATTTAAATAAAATTCTTACTTTTACATAAGACCAACATTTAGCCCCAGTAGAGAGGCCTGAAGCTAGCTAATGGAAGTGGCTTCAAGTAAGACTTCTATCCAACCAAAGTTGGCAAGCTAGGGAAATTGAAAAGCTAATATAAACATTCCCAGAAGCAGGAGAAAAAGCTCTAGTCAGGATTTGTATACCACTTGTGAAGGAAGCTGTATACAATGAAAACCAGGTATGAATGGAAATATGACAAAGCCAATCACTATATGTACTACAGCAAAAAGCCATTCTATATAGTAAGCAAAATACTATTTTGACCCTCTGTGCCATGCAAGAAACTAATAAAAAGGTAATTAGTCTCTCAGAGGCAGCCCATTAAAAATAGATAATAAACTCCTATAACTGCAAGTGCTAAGACATACATTTCAATTTTGTAGCTAGCTACATGTCTACACAATGGCTACACATCTACAAGAATGACTAAAATAGAGTGGCAATACCAAGTTTTGTCAAATATGTGGAACAAGTTCAATTCTTATATATAGCTGATAAGTGCATAAAACAAAAACAATCTAGTTCCTCATAATGTTAAACATACATTTACCACAAGACCCAGCAATTCCACTCCTAGGTATAATCCAAGAGAGGTAAAAACACATCCACACACACAACTGTAGTTGAATGTTCACTGTAGCTTTATTCAAAATAGTAAGAAACTGAAAAAACCCAATGTCTATCAAAAAGAAAATGGATAAACAAGTTGCGGCATATTCATAGAGTGTCACACCAATAAAAAGAAGAAGGAATAAAAAGGAAACACTACTCATATC